ATACAAACATGGTTACTACCTTTGTGATAGAATATACCCTGATTACACTACTTTTGTGAAGGAGTACTTGTTACCGTCAGATGAAAAAACAAAGAAACTTACAAAAAGGCAAGAATCTGCTAGGAAGGAAGGACATAGAGAGGGCGTTTGGAGTACTCAAGCGAAAATGACATGTAGTGAAACACGCTACACGACTATGGGATGAAAAAAACATACGTAACATAATGTACGTTTGTATCATATTATATAATATTAATTGAGTCATTAGGACGTGTGATTTCCACGTATGATGAGGCCGATGCAAACGGTCTGTATAAAGAACCGGTGAGATGGAAAATATATATACAAACTCACATCTAAAACATTATACTATAAACAAGAAATTGGCAAATTGCTCGGTTGCAGATTGGGTTTTTTTGCACTTAGAAATCGAGTGGGTTAATTAAAGAAGACATGGGGGATGAGAAGGTGTTGTTAGTAGACAGTGAGTTTTCACTTTAGAGCTCATATGTTCCTTCCACAATACCTTCTTTTCTCCAATAATTATTTAAACAATACACACAAATCTGATTTTATTTTCCCTCATATTTCATCCAGTAATTCCTCTTTTTGTTTGTCTTCATCCCCTGTTTTTAAACCTTTTAACAACTCTATTTACAATGAACAATTGAATACGTAATGCTTGAACTAATTTTTCGCACAAATTCATTTGGTATTCAAAAGTTGTTATAGAATGAATATTAAAAATGCAAAAAATAAATTAAATGGGTAAATCAACCTTTTCAAGTTTGATTATGACCAAATTCACTTTCAAACTATGACTATATCCAAAGAACAAACCACATAAAACACAACAAACCACATAAAACACACGGACCATTTTCTATTGGGTAATTCTATATGTACCTCTAACTTGTTTTGTGAGTATAATAGTATAGCCTATAATTTGACAATTTATGTGTTCGATTGATACGTATAGTAACACCATTTTCAATTTTGTTGATTAAAATTTATGATGTCATCATACACAGAAATAATCGTGTATACATCATGATCAATCCTCATAATCATCCAATCAAAATTCGTGTGGAAGAAATGTAGATGTAGTTCGTGCTTAAGGATGTTTCCCAACTTGCAAATTTGTTTAATTTTTTTTTATTTTTTTTTTTAAAGTGAAGATGTTTGATTGTAATCTAATTATTTTTCTTTTTCCCTTGTAGTTTCTTCTATTACAGCATCCATAATAGGCGTACTTTAAGAATTTTTTTCAAAAAAAAATAAAAATAAAAAATAACCCCATTAAGCACTTCAAATTAAAAAACTATTGAATAGCTTATTCTAAACCAAACTTTAAATACCTTGAGATTTTTCAATAGTTGTGATATGTTTTATTGATTTTCAACTAATTATAAATAAATAACTTATACAAAGAACAATTAAATGATAAAAACAGATCCATTAAATAATATACAGATAACAATAAAATAATAAAAACAGATCCATTAAATAAGCTAATTTAAAAAAAACTATTGTATTGTTGAGATATGTTGGTTTTTTTTTTCATTTTAAGCTTTTTTATTAAACCTTTTCAAGGAGCTTGTAAATTTATAAATTCTTGTCATAAGCTTTTTCAATGATTATGGCTAGTATTGCTGAATCTCAACCAATTATAAATAAATAACTTATAAACAACAATAGAGTGACAAGAACAAAATTAATGGATCCCATAAATAAATAAAATTGAAAAATCTCTCCTATTATTAAAGATATAATGAGTTTTTTTCATTTTAAACTTTTTCACTAAAAAAAAAAAAAAATCGCACACTATTATTCAACACATAGTAAATTGCAGAATTAATGATTATGGTTGGCAAAATGTTACAAGTTTTTTTTGTTACAATTTCAGTCCCTAAGTCGGAACTTTGTTGCGCTTTTGTTCTAAAATGACTAAAATACCCTCTTTAATTTCTTTTACAAAATTTGCACATACCATCTCATCTCATCTCATCAACAAGGACATGCTTTAGTTCAAAAAAATATCAAGATGCAGAAAATCTCCGAGTTTAAACAAATATTCATATGCGTTTTTATTTTATTTATTTCCTTACCAAAGGATGCCAAACTCTTTTTTTTTTTACTTATTTCTTTCCATAAGATGCTACTTCTTTATTTTCATTATTTCCTTCCGATAAGATCTTAGCTTCTCTTTTTATCAAAACTTTTTTTTTTCTATTTTCTTGTGTAATTTCCATCATCTCCTATTCTTCCTTGTTTTTTTAGGGCTTCCAAGTTGCCTTGTGGCTTAACTGTATGTCGATAGTTGTGGTTCTTCACTAGTAATTGTATGCTTTATCGGGTTGTATATTGCACATTGAAGGGTTGTACATTGCAAAAAATACTCGTATAGGTGAATGAATTAAGAAATGAACAGATATGATATTGTAAAGATAAGCAATGATGTTTGAGTGTGAACATTGAGTTATTATACCCCAAATGACTTAGATTTGAAAGTACATTGCCTAAATGGATAATGGCAAAGTACAAGCGTGTTAATAGTGGATTGGATTGGATTGGATTGGATTGGTAAAAGAGTCTTATAACAATTAGGTTTCATGTTCTACAAGAAACATACATGAAATATGACAATAGTCAATAGGTTGAGGATCATTGGGTATCATAAATATTAAAGTAAAATGCTTAAATAGGAATTTTAGTAAAGAATAATGTTGTATAAGGTTATTATGTTGGGGTTTAAGTTGTTAGAAATCGATTCTATAAAAACCTTATCGTATTTTTCTTTCGTTTAGTGATTTTTTAATAAGAATTTAGCTCCCATTCTTATCATTATCATAAAAGGATTGTAAACATAACTGGATTATTGTGCATGATGTTGGATGATAAGGAACCAAGTGTTTGACTCTTGTTGACTTTTGTCAAAACTTTGCTCATTCTGTGTATGGTTCTTTTTTATACTCTTGATATGGGAAGCAGACACTCTCCTGTGAACCTTCGAGAGGGTTCGTAGCCTTGCTAACGGTTTTCAACCTCAGGGCGAATCTAAAAGAGTTTTTTTTTTAAATGTTCATAAATTCTGTGAACAAATTCAAGAGACGACAGATCCATAGGCAGCAAAAGAAGACTTTCGCTAAACAAGCTAGGGGTGAAAGGCCAACCAAGATTGGATATAGCTGGTTTTCCGCGAAATCTATTTCAGTAGAGTGTATGATATCGATGGCCCGAGGTAACATTTTGAATGATATAATGAAAATTTTAAGATATTTTTGTTATTGTTAGGGGTGGCAAATTGGACGATTGTGTCGTGTTGTTTGACACGACACGACATGACAATGTTTTATATAACACGAACAAGACATGATGTCGTGTTTTTTTTAACTAACACAAAAACGAACCAATAAAAAAACAAAGAACACGACACGACAAAGATAACATAAAATAATAATTAATTAATTTAATTAATATATAATAATATATAGTAATATAACACGATAAACAAATGCTAAATCGTGTCGAATTTGGAATACGAACACGACACGACGTCGTGCTTTTTACACTTGACACGTCCCAATTTCATTTTGTGTCGTGTATTTTTGTCGTGTCGTCTCATCAATTGCAACCCATAGTTATTGTCAAGGTTCTAAATAACGTAAGGCGTGACTTGGCGGCAATATCAAGCCTCAAACTTTTCTAAGTCGTGGCGAGATATGTCGTTTGTAAGGCGTGACATAAGGCGGCAATTTTGCATATATATATATATATATATATATATATATATATATATATATATATATATATATATATATATATATATATATATATTCAACTATTATTCATTTTTATACACATATATGAGTTAAGGCGGCGTTTTAGTAAAGCTTGGCAGTAGGTACAAGCTTTGGAGCCTTGGCGAGCTTTTTAGGACCTTGGTTATTGTTGATGATCAAGTCAATAAGATAGGCACCATTTTAGACGTCCTCAAAAACAGTCTTGGCGTTTTAGAGTCGTTTCGAGTAAAAACTACAATCTGACGAACAACACTTAAAACAGAGCCCACCATTTTAGGCACCATTCTAGACACCATCCTTGGAGCGTAGGTTTCAGGTATTGTCTAAAAGGTCACCTAGAACGCTACCGCCATTCTTTGCCCTTCTAGCTATACTAATCCTCTAGAAATAGACTTTGCCCCTGATTTTAAACACCTTCCAAAAATCGGTCTATTTCTAAAGAATTTCTTAGGTTTTGAGGGTCTGTAACGCCTCTTAATCCTCCCCAAACACCATTGTTTGACGAATGAAAGCCACTTCCATTCCGTTTGAAACAATTCGTCAACAAGTTCATCATCTTCTTTTTATGGCTTTGAAGAACACCACTTTGATAAAGATTAATTTGTTGAAGACTATGGAAGGCTAAATCATTCGGGGTTGATACCGATGAGAATTTTACATGATTATATGTGTTATTTTTTATTATTAATTGGATTGAGAACAATAAATATTTGCCTATTCGTTTTCTTATAATCATTGAGTAATAGCAAGCTTTATTATACTTATTTATCAAGTTGTTGCTTTAATTCATGAGACATTATATTGTATGTAGGAGTGACAATTCTCAACACGACATGTCACACGAACCCAACACAAAGATAAACGTGTTGGGTTGAGTTTTTCTGGCCTGCCAATCCGCCAACCTGCAACCGGTTTGTTATACGGGTTGTTTCTGGGTTTCTAAACCCAAATAATTTTGCAGGTTGACCCATGAACCTATTAGCTAGACTTAGGAACTAATACAGATAAATATAATTGGAATGACATACAGTGTGCCTATGATTTAAATATGTATTCGACATGCTCGTCCTATCTACTTAGAAATCGAAACTTTTCTAGCTAATGGAAGTTAACAAAAGATTTAGTATAAGTCATAGATTAACTCACTTTTTTGTTCTTTAGCATTAAACACTATACTCTAAATCTTTAATATTATACAAGGGATACCATTTTTACATAATTTCATTGATCAAAAATAACCAACCTGGAACGTTTGTATAAGTATCAACCGATACTTCATCTGCTTCATTTCATCAATCTCACTCAAAAGTCATTCTCTTTTACCACTTTCAGCATGGGGCACATTCTAGTGGAAGAACTCAAAGAATTTCCTACATAAAAAAAGAAACTTCTATCACAAAAACTAACCAAGAGGCAAATTGTCCTCTTTTTTACAATTAAGTATACTTATTAACCCCACTACCAAAATGTCAATAACATATATGTCACAAATCTAAAAAGAACAAAATTGGTGTTCTTGAAATAAATGGTTTCTAGATTAATTGGTGAATGAAGTTACAATTAAAATGAGAATCAAAAGAACCCTATTGTAAATTGATGATAAAATTGCTAAGGCTTCTCATTGGACACACCATTTTGAACTCTGCCATCAAAGCCATGATATGGAACTTCAACCATTGGAGATGGGATAGGGCGTTGACCAAAGTCTTGTGGAAAGGCTTCAAAATCAGGTCCAAAGTTGAATTTAACCATGCAGTTGCTTTGATGAGGAAGAGTGTACATTGAAGCAGCAGGGTAGTATCGTCCACCATTCAGATCTTTATAAGCAGACCCTTGACATATCCCATTTTTGAAAAAACATATTTCACTTCCTGAGATTTTGTACACTCAATCAATCACACAAATCTAAAAGCATTGCATCAAAAGAAAGAAAGGTCACAAACCTGGAACAACTTTAGGAGGGTCTTCTTTTGCATCAGTAGCATACGCATATCTTTGCCCTTTGTACAAAACTAGTTGTGGAGGCTTTGGTGCGTACAAATTCCCATCAGGTAAGTTGATATAGAACCCAATTACATCACCTTCAACATAGCCTTCATCGCCATACTTCTCCCTCAAAGCTTTATGCACTTTGCTCCCATCAATATCTCTGTAACCATAACTGTTCCCATCATACCCAACAGGCGCCTGCAAATCCCCCTTTTCAGTTGACCATCCTAGTCTCGTATGCCCTGTTTCCCCTAAATTCACCACCTTGATTTCGAAATACCAAGCTCCCTCCATCACCCCTCTTGTAGCTCTCACCATTCTATACCCTTTACAGCTACCTGCACTCAACCTATCTTCACTCAATTCTACTTTCTCCGCCTTGTAAACCTTTGAAAGACAGATTGTCATGTCTGCAGAGTCGTCGTTTTTGTCAGGGTAGCGATGGATGGGAGTGATCAAAACGGAGTCCTCTGTTTGAGCAGTGGTGCTTGTTGTACTCTTTGTCCTCTTTTTGCCCTTTCGAGACGATGGCTTTGTCCATACATTGTTTCCCTTGCTCTTTTTCTTCTTCATGCTGTTAGTTGACTTTTTACCACTAGGTTTTTCGGAAGGTGGGGGCATCGGTGTGATCGGTGTTGCTGCAGCAGCTTCTTGAGATAATTCTTCTTCCAGCGGCGGTGCGAGTAACGAAAGGTTCTTGTGCTTCTTCGCCGGACGTTCTTCGTGTTCTTCCATTTCGTCTTCAGAGGAGATAACTTTGGTAAAATTAGGCGAGTCTTTAGGGGTGGGTTCGATATCTGAGAGTTCTTCGGAGGGCATTGGATCATCTTTGGTGCCGGAATCGGTCTCGGGGGTTGCGGAGGTGGTGGATGTGGTGGTAATAGTTGTGGTTGTTGGAACGGCTAGTGCTTCATCGACGGCGGTGGTGGGAACGGTTCCCTCATCGTCGACAGTGGTGGTGGGAATGGTTAGTGCTTCGTCGACAGTCGTAGTGGTGGTGGTCGTAGTGAAAATTTCTGGTTTTGGATCTGCCATTTCTGAATTAACGTCTCTGTTGTTGTTATTTGAATTGGTGCTGTAGGAATTATCTTCGTCCTGGTCTTCTTTGTAGGTTGCTTGAAGATCGTCCATGGCTGATTGACGAGTAAAAGGGTAAAGGGTTAGGGTTAGGGTTAGGATTTTCCGAGGTGGAGTGCAAAAAGGGGGATTCAATATGATACATGGAGCTATCACCCGGTTCATTAAATTTGAAAAAAAGATATATGAATGAGGTTTTTTATTTTTATTTTTTTCAACTTCTTTTGCATAACCCAGCAACCTTCGGCCTTTTGTCCATCTTAAACCTTAATCAAAGACATTGTTAATTAATTAGTATCATAAATTAATTTAATGATTTGATAATTACTGTAGATTTCCAATAAATTATAAATATATAATTTATATATCAATGTCTTTAAAAAAAATTGATAAGTTTTTATTACGAAGATAAAATAAACTTTTTCATTTTAAAATTTCATCAAAAAGTTCAATCAAAAAGCTCTTTTGTTATGGATGTTATAAGATGTGTTTTTTCAACACATTTTTTCATGACACTCCTCATTTTTCTCTAACATTTCACTTTTCATCTTTTCCCCTTACTCCCTTCCACTAGAAAATAATCACATTTCACTTTAAAATTCTAATGTTAAAAGCTCTTATATTGTGCAAATGAAAGTTGCACAAAAGAAAGAGAAAATGAGGTAAGGTGTGGTTGATTCTCACCGCAAGGGCTCCAAACTTCAATGAATTTTTAGGGTGGGGCGGCGTTCATCGTATGCAGAGTGTCACCCTCATCGTACCCCACAGTGCACCCACTCCATTTAGTCTAAGAATGTAAGAACTAGTATACTTTCTCGATAATGAAATTTGCGATGGATTGAATAAAGCTTTTAGTTTTTATGTTAAAAGTATTTACAAAAATGAAAATGATGACTAATACAAATAAGTTTTTTTGTGTTTACGGAAATGGCCATTAACTTGAAATAGGCCAGGTCATTTAGATTCTTGACGGTATATAAATTGAAGAAACAATGACGACAACAACAACAATAAACCTTATTAATCTCATAATGGGATAGGGGAGTTATATGTCGATAGTCATGTCTTCATATGGTGAATGATTGCATCACAAGTATTACCTCTAACATATGCTAGAATAAGAAATTGGTTGCCAGCTTGTTAGGGTGTTGTCGGAGGTGTTTCAGACAATGTACAATAGCACAAAAGAAAGCTTATAGAAAAGCACAAGAGAGAGAGAGAGAGAGGCAAGAGGGAAGATAAAGACTCTTTAGTTTTTAACTTTATAACTTGAAGACTATATTACATATATGGTCCATGTAATTTACAATCATATATGGGAACATATAGCTTCTCTAATGAAGACATTTTAAATTATGAAAAGTTAGGATTCAATATATCATGTAGGCAACAGTTAAGAGTGTTCCAAAAATGCACGGGGAACCATAAAAGATAGTAATAAAGAGTGGGCAGTTTCAACAAGATGTCGATGTTTTCTTTCTACATCGGTACAAGATGCTAAGATGCTTGGTGTATTTGTACCATCTATTGAAAGTAATTGCATGAAATCATTAAAGGTATACCCCCCCTAAGTCTCATCAAAAACACTTTATGGTTACTGAGTGTTGTGTCATAACAAGATCTCTGAAATTGTTGTAGATTGTCAAGAAATCATACCTGTATTTCATGAGATAAACCCAAGTATAATGAGTGCAATAATTTATACACAATACATAGCGTAACACATTGGACTTTTAATACAAATTACACCCAAAAAATTTTGTTTCAAATCATAAATCATAATAAATTCGGTGTATATTCATATTAAAAAATCGATACAAGAAGTTATTAAAGGGATCTTACCATATTCTTGTATAAGGATCCAAGTTGGACGCTACCAACTCCACACCTTTCTACCAAGTCAATCTGAAGCTGAAGGGCACACACAACAAATGATAAGATACAATGAGCTTAGTGAGTAACTTGTACAATAAGATATAAAATAGTTACACAACTAAATATATATCATCACATTCTTAACCCATACAAATTCTAATGTGCCTTAATCAATGAACATACACTCGAGTTGAGTTTTAGTAGATAATACTCCAATAAACAAGTTTACAATTATTTCAGTTATTACTCCATCCTTTAAATATCTATATTATATTACAGCCTCTCAAGCTACGATCAATTTCAAATAGACTAAAATGCACAAATGGTCCATGTGGTTAGCTCAAAATTGCTACTTTGGTCCAAAAAAGGTTTGGACTAGCACTAGAGGTCCAAACTTTTCATTTTATTGCGAGTTTGGTCCAATTTGCTATGAACTTTTTCAAGTGACGATTTTGCCCTTACTCTTTTATTTTTCAGCTTTTTATTATTTTATTAATTTCTTTTTCCATTTTTTTATATGACAATAACTAAGAAAAAAATTGAGTGTTTATCCCCCACCCCATTCCTTCTATCTCTTTCTCTCTCTCTCTCTCTCTCTCTACATTACATATGAAAAACACTATTACATATGAAAAACACTGAAACTTTAAACCTGCACATCACCGCACCTGCACATTATCAGAAACCGCCACCATAACCGTCGTTCTCTCTCCACTCTGTCTCTTTTTCTATCCACCGTATCTCTCATTCTCCAACGTTTCATGTGCGCTTTTGAAACATCTCTTTCTGATTTTGTTGGATTTTTGATGCGAAAACCCTTCTCGCCGGTCTTGTTTGAAGATCTTGTCGTCGTAGATCTGGAACACCGACGATCTACAACAGAGTCATCTTCTCCTGAGCTCCAACTCCCCACCATCTTCGGAGACGAACGGATCTGATTCGAGGCAACAATGGAACCTGAGGTCAGCTATCGAGGTGGAATCCAAAGTGGTTTCCGTTGAAGTTGATTATAGGAGGCGATGATGTTGTCCCCCCTCCCAAACGACGAAGACGATGACGTTGTCAAGAATGATGGAGGGATGGTGAGAGAGACAGTGTGTGTGTGTGTGTGTGTGTGAGTGAGTGAGTGAGAGAAGGGGAGACCTTTGTCTTCTCTGTTTCCCGGATCTGTAAATAGAACCATCACCACCGGCCATTTAGGCTTTTCTGACGGTAGATTTGAAAACCTTACTCCTTCCGACGAGCACTTTAACTGCTCTGATGGTTGTATAGAGAAGGTGATCGAAGCAGGTTAAAAAGAGAAAGAGGGTGGCACTTGTGGTGGCGGTTTCCGACAGGTGGCAGCAGTTTATGGTGGGTGGCTTTTTTTCCAACAAGTGGCGGTGGTTTCCGGTGATACAATGGAGTGAGAGAGATAGGTAGTATGTATGTTAAAGAGATAGTGGGTGGGTCTAACGACCCAATTTTCAAAAGAAATTTTTCATTTTTAATTACCAAATTACTTTCCACAAACCATGAAATACCAAATACAATTGTTTCCAAAATTCATATCAATTACAATCTTATTTCAAAACATCATAATGTCCCATAAAAATGTTTGAGAGAGAGTGCACGTCGCGCCATCAAGCCTTGCCCTTGCCCTTAGGCTCGGATATACCTGAAACAAATCCACAAATTGTAAGCTAATGCTTAGTAAGTTCCCTTAGAGCATACCCCACATACAATCCACATAACACATACCATATTAGCTATAAAAGCTACATATATCACATAAGCCATGCATACAAACATATAAGGATGTCATGGGCTCCTCCGCATGGTCTGATACCAAAGTGTCATGGGCTCCCCCATGGTCTTTAACTGACAAGCCATGGGCTCCCCCACATGGTCTTTCATTCGACTGCCATGTGCTCCCCCCATGGTCTTTAACTATCAAGCCATGGGCTCCCCCACATGGTCTTATCCAAGTGTCATGGGCACCCCCCATGGTCTTCCCTGCAAGTATCATATAATCACTAGCATACCACGTAGCATATAGCTAACTACCATACCACAAATCTCTATTATAGCTAGTGTACCATATATCACAAAATGGGTCGGCCTTGGTGCCTTAGACCCATTGGTATGGTGAGGAGACTCACCTCTCGAATGTTGAACTAACAAGCTAAGATCGGATAAATCCCACGCACTACTCCAACTCAACTGCCTATAATCATCAGGTGATTAACTTGTCACAATCCTGAAAAACCATAAATATCCTTAAAGTCAACCCTTGTCAAATTCAAGGTCAACGGACAAGGTCAACAGTCCATGTTGACCTCAACTCGCCGAGGGCATCCAGCAACTCATCGAGTTCCTCCCGAGTCCATTCCACTGAATCCCGAGTCAACTCGCCGAGTCACCTAAGTGACTCGTCGAGTTCATCCAATGTCCAAAAAACCAAAAGTTCATTCATACCAACACTCTAATCCTTCGTTGCGCTCATTCAGAAATTCAAAAACGAGTAAACCTTACCCCGACTCGTCGAGTCGACTAATGGACTCGACGAGTTCCTTCAGTCCTTTTGTGTTCAGTCATTTCCAGTGGGATCTAAGGTCCCAAACTTCAGATCCAACCTCCCCTAGTGCAGATACCATGTAAAGTTGCAAACTTTACGTGCATGCAAGGCCTCCTAAGTCTATAACATCCAAACTAAGCTTCCTACAAGGTTTTTAGTGCATGGAAAGGGCCTAAGCTGGATAAAGTGAGCAACTTTATGTCATTGAGGACCTAGACTGGAACCATATCCTTGTGATAAGTCCAAATCCGAGTATGACCCCATTTTGCACCAAAAGTGACCATATTCTTCCATAAAATGAGATCTAAGCAAATAGAGATCAAGTTAGAAACTTTTTACCTCTAAATGGATGCTAACAACAAGTAGATGTCGGATCCAAAGCCTTCTCCTCTCTTTAATCTCCTCAACTTTCAAGTTTCCTTCTCAAAAGCACAAGTTCCGCTCTCCAAGGCTCACTCAAGGAAGCACCAAGATGCGGCTAGGATTTCTTTCTGGACTGTAATAACGATGAAGGAGGCTACAAATGAGCCATAAGTTCTTTAAATAGGGTACAAACCCCTAAAAATTAGGGTTTCTCTTTACAGCGTCTATTCGTCAAGTCGGGGCCTTTCGACTCGTCGAGTAGGATTTAAAACCCGCGTCCTCATAATGATCTCTACTTGACAAGTTGGAGCTCCCCAACTCGCTGAGTCCATGCACAAAACCCAAAAAATTAAATAAATTAAATG